GTGCAATTAAGCTACTACTAAATGTGCCAATTTAAGAAGAAAAGTCTACACAGAACAAAAAAAGGTATTTGATTTCAGAATACCCAGTTTTATAAATGGGTAAATGTTGGTCTTTACCTTAGGTGTAAATCTGGGGGGGGGGGTGCAGGTGAGTGACATAGGTATCATAAGTGGACCCTGAGATGAGGTCATTTTTCCACATTGCAGGGCCTACATTTGTGGCGGAATCTCGCGATATATGCATAATTTTTATGATTAGCTCAAGACAGTAACACACTGACATATTAGTGAAGATGAATAGCGGCAAAAATAGAAAAATATCACTTATATATTGTGACTGAGACAGCAATAATTTATGGAAACAAACTAACTGTACACAGCACAACAAAATCGCCCTATAACACAACGTGACGTCACACCTCTGACCCCGATGTATAAAGTAGACATAGCAGAGTATGAATGATCACACGCCTTTAACCAGTCCTGCACTAAGTGAGGTTAGACCCGTCTGCACGATTGACATAGAGACAGCATACAGAAATAAAGACATGTGGAAATATATAAATAAATGAAGAAATGTATAAATACAGAAATATAGAAATAGATAAATGAAAAGGTGTACAGCTAATTATGCCCATGATCAAAATGTATACATGTACGTATTTATTTATATATTTCATCATTAATTTGTACATGTATTTATTTATATTTATGTCATGTTTAGTTCTCCATTGATATACCCCCCAATGTTAATATGAAACCTACGTCCCTGGGGCCTCATGTATAATGACGTGCGTAGAATTCACACTAAAACATGGTGTACGGACAAAACTAGGAATTTGCATACGCAACAAAAAATCCAGATGCACAAAACTGTGCGTAAGCACAGATCTACGCACATTCCCTTTATAAATCCCAATGAGCGTGAAATTTTACGTACGTGAACAAGGCCACAGCCCCCCCCCCGACCTGCCCATAATTATGTATATTTGCACATGTAAATCTGTATAAATAACTGCTTTGTTCTATGTGTTTCTTAAACAACAATGGGTAAACCATGTTGGAAAAAGAAGTACTGTATTCTGCGCACTATAAGGCGCACTTAAAAGCCTTTAATTTTCTCAAAAATCCACGGTGCGCCTTTAAATTCGGTGTGTCTTATGTGTGCACTGAGTTCCAGAATCTGTAAAAATGTTGTGCATTTTAGTAGTTTTAGCAGCTTGATTGACTGTCGGACCATTTCCTGCCGACATAGGGATGTAGTAATACGTACACTACGTACGCTGGCAGCGATAAACCAATTGCAGAACATTACGTAAAGCCACGTACAGAGGTACGCTTACCTCCGCCACGCCTACGGTAGGTAGGTATATTGTACTACTGGTGCACTGCGAAACAACATTTGTTTAGCTAAGGACCCTGAAAATGGCATCAGAGAAGAGACATGCTTACGATGCACAATTCAAACTACAGGCTATCAGTTACGCGGTTGTAAATGGGAATAGAGCAGCAGCGAGAGAATTCAAAATCAATGAATCTATGGTTCGGAAGTGGAGGAAGCAGGAGAATGACAACAGACTGATCAAAAAACAATGTGAGTGTATTTTTAAATACGTAGTAACTAAACTCACTGTTTTGCTTTTGTTACCTTGTTTTTGCATGCGCCGAATAATACGGTGCACCTTATGTATGGCTTAAGTATAGAAATAAGCCCCGCAATTGAGAGTGCGCCTTTCAATCCAGTGCGCCTTATGGTGCGCAAAATACGGTGAGTGCGAAGTGGAGGTCATGTTAACAGAACTCGAGAAAAGAAAAGTGATATTATTTGGTGGTTTAAGTAGTGGCATCAGCAATAAACAAAAGCTGACGGAGTGGCACAGCGTGGCGGAGTCAGTTAAAAGTGTTGGTTCCGAAATTCGCACGGTGGCTGAAATTAAAAAGAAGTTATCGGACATTAAATCCGACGTTAAAAAACGAGTGGCCGCTCACCATAAGAGTCTTAACAGCACAGGCGGAGGGAGCGGGATTCCCGGTCTCACACTTTTATTGGGGGAGGGGGATGCTGATGTCAGCGCGGGTGAGTTTTTCTCGTACCATACTTGTTTGAATTACTTGCATGTTTATGAATAACAAGTAGGGCACAGATGCGGTGTTACTTTTGTTTATTCTGTGTGTTTATTCTTACAGACATTAGTACAAGACGTGCCACCGTTGGTGGGGGAGGAAGCCGGCCAGGCCTGGCAGGCTAAAGTGTATAGTGAGGGTCTGCTGGGAATGTCTGTCAGGAGGAGCTTCAACTCCTATCTCCGGCAGAGCTTCTCCCATGTCCCTGGGGAGGCGGGGGACATTGAGTCAGAATGGGCCTTGTTCCGTGCCGCTATTATGGAGGCGGCTGACTGGAGCTGTGGCCGTAAGGTGGTCGGTGCCTGTCGTGGCGGCATTCCCCGAACCCGCTGGTGGACACCGGTGGTGAGGGATGCTGTCAGGCTGAATTCAATTTAATTCAATTTTATTTATATAGCGCATTATCACAACATTACATTGTCTCAATGCGCTTTACATTTCTGCCTCGTAAGGTATGGAGGACTAGACATGACATAATTATAAATAAATAAATGTGGAAATACATAAATAAATAAATGT